TGGTTTGATTTGCTAGCATATCTTTTATATATATAACAGGATAATAAACACCTTTTTCACTTAAATCTTTTCTAATCATGTTGTTTTGTATCTTAGCCAGGAAGCAAACAAATATATAAATTCACTAATGGTATACTTTTTTTTCAGCTAAGACAGTTCATTTATTGATTTTATAGATCATATACACGTATCAGTTTATTGATCAATAATTAACTCCTAGTTCAAATTTATTTATTGATTAAACATTCAAAGTTATAGATATATTTGTATATAAAAGTTATTGTTTTTGATATTAAACAGTGGTTCGTGAATAAATCAGTCTCCTTCTGAAATCTTGTTTTCATCTTTACATTATTAACATGCCAGTCGTGTTCTCCGTTACAATGAGTATTATATTAATTATGACTCAACAATCATGATAAATACTGGCATAAATCAATATTTATTACAATTTCCAACATAATTTTGATTTCGCCTGACAGTATAGTTCGTTCTTTTTTTTTAAAAAAACAATGAATCAGTTGGCATTAAAATAGAAAGAACGTATTTGTAAAATCTCAGCGAAAAAATTTGAAGTAAATCCAACGTTTCGCCTGGTAATCTTGTTCAAGCTTTTCCAAATACATTCTTCCTCTTTAATGACTCACATCAACTCGGCGCCCAAATACTGTGAAACTATTCGGTCAAATTTAGACGAAATTTCTTATTTATTATAGTGAATCAGTTGTTTGTGAATGATCATAATTCCACTTTAACAAACCGACAATTCATAAAACATTTTTAAAAAGTTACTAGAAAATAGTTTGGGTTTATCATGTTAGTTAATTCTAACCGAATCGCTCTCTGCATGTCAATAGGAGTAAACCATTATCATTGATGTTCAGATTAGTTTGATACAGTCTAAATAATTATTGACTATTAAATAATAGATTTAAAATTAGTAAATTTCGTTTAAATAACAGGTTCCAAGAGTGTAACGATTAAAATTTTTCATAATCAGTATAAAGTTGTGGAGATTATTGCGTTTCATTGATATTATGAACCGATCAATGTTAAGTAATCATGGAAAACCTACTAGGGGACTCTTCAGTCGTCTGTAACTACGACCTCACATGCAGGAATAGAACCTAAAACTTTCGGTCTCGTGCGTCAACGCCTAATCTCTAGATCACTAAACCCAGAATCCAACGGTGATTAGCATTAAGAGGTAATTCCCTGAGTTTCGATGGGAAGCCGTGACAAGTAAAGTTCATCTGCGTGAGGCAGTTACTCACTCAAGAAATGGAAAACAATTGCTCAATGTCGTGGATTGATTGAATTTAGACATTAACACTGTCGTGTGTCGGCTCAAATGGGTGAAGATTACGCGTTGGCACCGAAGACCTATGGTTCTATGTTCGATTACTTCATGTGGGATCGTGGATACTAACCACTGAGATGTCGCATCCCAGGATGAATCAGTCGTTCAGTGCTTCCAGGTTTTCCACCGTCATCTAACATTGATTAGTTCATGATTTCAATGAAACTTTTTAATATTTGCCGAAGTAGTATAATTAATCAAATATTCATTTGATTAATTTTGTTATTAAGAAACTATTCATAACAAAATGTTGACCATTTAACCGAATACAGATGGACAGATAAAATTTTCGAAATTGGCCAACTAAAGTTTTTTAATGTGACTTCATTACATGTTTTATCTTTGTGACTGTCATTAACATTAAGTAGTTTTAAAACAGAATAATTTGATGACACTGTGTTTTTATTAGAACACGGATATCATGAATAACAATAATTCTACAAAATACAATCATTATTACAGTATACTTACTCTATATTATAAAAGAATCAGATTGTTTTCTTCCTTTTTTCCCCACTCACATATACTATGGAAAACATTAACCGTTCATTTTCAAGATTTTCTTTTGTTTTTTCTCTTCTCTTTCATTATTCCTAAGATTATTTTCTTTCTGTTTTTTAGTTAAGTATAATCATTACATTTTTCTACTAACCTGGTATTTAATTAAAATTGTATGTTTTAAACAACATTTGACTAAAATAAAAACAAATACACTTTTTGGCGAGACCATAATTTATGGACGAGCCAATCAGGTTTAACATACCAGGTCTTGAATTTTGGCGCGAAATTCATTCACCCATTTGGCTAAATAGAGTCCTGGCATTATAGCTGTTGTCATTTCGTGATGAAAACCCTAAATCTGTTTCCTAACCCTAACCATCAACTGCTAATCATCATCCTTATTCTTCAAACTGCTTTATAACCCTCATTTAGCTCTAGTAAGTAGGTAAACACTCTCAAAGTCACTTAAGCGTCGCCCGAATGTCCATAAATTATAGTTTCACCCATTTTTTGAGAAAAGAAATTAGATAGTAAATATAATTATTATTTTCTTAAGTATTTGATATATACTCAATCAATACTGCATTATTGAACAAAAAATCAACAAACTGAACTCTGATTTACAAACAGAGATGGATGGTGGCTAGTAGTAGAGTCCAGGACGCACATCTGATCCTATTTGGGACTCGTCAGCTGGATGTACTTGCATCCCAAAGTTGATGTTCACTCGAATCTAGTATCATCTCCTCAAACGCCATCACATTATCCCCTAAGCTACTGAGTCTAAATAGCCACTGGTTTGTGTAATACTGAGGGATTTTAATTCATTTTGTATTGGTTGTTTGAATCTTTTGATTGATGTTTAGGACTGTAATTGATCAGTCTCTTATTGGCATATATGCATTCTGTGAGAACTGCATCGATATAACCTTCATTCACAAGCATTATGAGCAAAGATGGATAGTGGCTAACAGTGGAATCTATGAGGCGCGTTTCGCCTTATTTGGGACTCGTCAGTTAGACATACCATCCATCTCTGCTTATGATACCTATTATGAAGTTTTTTCGCCTGTGTGAAAGCACAGGATGCACATATGCCAATAAGAGACTGATCAATTGCAGTCCTAAACATCAATGAAAAGATTCAAACAAACAATAGAAAAATGAATTGAACTCTGATTTGTTGTTGTTTTTTTAATTTACACCTATATTGGGATATTCAGGAAAATATCCCAAAAATTATCCTGTTAAGCCTAATGCTATACTTGGACATGAAATGGTATCATCTTATTGGTCAATATTTGTTTAACGTGTCATTTTCCTACTGGCCATTATTGTACAATGTTATTTTCTATTTTATGGTACGTTGTGGTCTGCTTGACTGGTATATAAACAAAGTATGTTTGAAATATAATGATTCATAACTCAGAGGCTGTGACTTGCGTTCTGAACTTAGCTGGCTGGGCTAGACAGGGAAGCGGGACCGATCAGAACCCTAGGTCGTTCTACGTGTTTGCGCGTCTTTGGTTCGATCAATAATTCGCTACCCTTAATCAGCAGCATTTTCACAGTTATAACAACCTACTTAGCAGTAAAGTAGATTAAATGGTGGTTGGAGATAGTCGACAGAAAACGCTGGACCCGGATTTCGTGCTACTTGGCACTCGTCAGCAAAGTGTACCTGTAATCTTGAGGGAACCGGTGCTTAAACTTAAAGAAAAAATAATCACTTTTATGAATGTTGTTTTTTATTGAAATTCTGTATAAACTGAAATGAATCCATGCTAAAATAATTGACATTTTATCTCTTGATAGATTATTGTAAGATAAGACGAAAACAATACACAGGTATTTTATCCCAATTGAATGTCTTAGTAAACGGATTACAAAGTGTAATGATTTAAGTGTTCACACTATTTGGTGTACGATTTCTTTTTTCCTTAATCACCAAACTGTAATGTTTTCACTGAAATCAAATTTTTGTATAGTTTAATAATGAAGACAGAAACAATATTGTTGAGTAATTTTGGTTGTAACTGACCCGACTATCTATAATCATCTATATTATTGTGTCATTTTAAAAATGGATTTTTCTACAATTAACAAGTGAATTAAATTATATAATACTGATAAAGAGAATTGAATCATGATGGTTGTACTGAATATAATTATTTGTACTCAAAGAGATATCACTTATCGTTTGATTATATTATTTAGTGGTCTACTAACTTATGTACCTACACCTGTTATCTTTCGTGGAGGAACATAAGCCGTCTACCAGGATTCTTCATCGAACTATGTTCTTGGCTCTCCTTTCTAGTTGTTTCCAGTTGCTATTCGTCCTTTTGATGTCTGCTTCTGATTCACGACGCAATGTGTTCCTTGGTCTCCCTCTTTTTTCTCCTTCAGGATTACAAGTTAGAGCTTACCTCGTAACGTAGTCTGATGATTTCCGCAAAATTTGTCCTGTCCACCTTTAGCGTCTTCTAATTTCCTCTTCTTTTGGAAGTTGTTTTGTTCTGCCACACATTAGGTTGCTGCTGATGGTATCCGACCGACAAATATTGAATATTTTACATAGAAAATTGTTTATAAATACCTGTACTTTCTTGATGATGTTTGTAGTATTTCTCCAAGTTTCAGCTCCATACAATAGAACTATCTTGACGTTCGCATTGAAGATCTTGACTTTAATGTTTGCTGACAGTTGTTTTGAGTTCCATATCTTCTTCAGTTGTAGGAATTCTACTCTTGCTTTCTCAATTCTTACCTTTACATCTGCATCAGATCCTCCCTGTTTATCGATGATGCTCCCTAGATACGTGAAGGCTTCCAACTCTTCCAGATTTTGCTTTTTCCATTGTGCATGTTGAGGCATACTGTTTCAGAGACTGGTGCTTTTTAATGGTTCACGTCAATCCAATACAACTTTATTAAAACAGTTTAATTCCAAAATGTGCTTTTTAAAATGTTATTTTACTGTTTATTAAAGATATTGTTTCATCTGTAAAATATATTCTGACAAGTGTAATATGATTTACGGTCGTTTTTTTAAAATAATTTCCAAATGATATTTCACTTTTCTTTCAGTAATATCGAACTATTATTATCGGTATTTTTGTCTATTAATTGTACCTAGGTATGTTTTTCACGTCATGATTTATCTGCTCATAATGCCGCCACTCATAAACAAGATCCTCGACCGTATAGATGTGAACAATGTGGTAGACAATTTTCAACATGTGCCTATCTATCACAACATAGACGTATTCATACCGGTGTGAAACCGTACGCATGTCGTTATTGTGATCGTCGTTTCACTCAATTAAGTCATGTACAACAACATGAAAGAATACATACAGGTGAAAAACCATATCGGTAAGTAGTTATTGATGTTTTTCTCCTTTTTTATGCTTTTTTTACTTTCTTTAAAGTTTGCGAAATGTCTGCTGATTATAAAGATCCTGTAAATTATGTAAATTTTATGAATGAAAGACAATTGATTAATTTAAACAATTTCACGTGTTTTATTTATTAGTTTGGAACTAAAACACTAGTGTTAATATCGAAACACATCAATTTAATTTGACATTTGGTGCAAGATAAAAATTTTTGGTTTTTAATAATTGTTAAAATTGAATCTACATGTAGTATTTGAGTGATACTACTGTTGATTCATATCCATGACATCTTAAGATTTCAAACTGAGAATATATAGTGAATTTATTTCATTTCTTATCTTCATCTTTCTATCTCCCTGTTTGTGTCTGTCTATGATCATACCACTGTCTTTTTAGATCCACTCAAATTTAGTGAAAACATTAACTAAATAATATCAAGTCATAGTTTACATGATCACTGAGTAGTAACTAAAATGTCATATTCTTCTGGTTGTTTATTGTTGATGGAATTTTATTTGTCTAGCTACCATTTTTTCACTAGTTCAAGTGATTCTCAAGATTGAACTGTGAAACTGGTCTTGAATCAGGATTTTAATCATAAAGTAAACATAATTTCCTTCGAGATTCTAGTCAAGGCATTTGTTCGGGTGGAAACTAGTACAAAACCTGAGATGAGACTAAAATTTCTGATCAAGTTTTATTCATACTGTTTATTCAATCGATCTAATTATCTTTGAAAGATGATTTCAATGATGTGAATGCATAACGTGTAATTTCATTTCGGTTGGTTGAAAGTAAGAAGGTATAAAACTATGACAATCGTCTTATATCTCCATAACATGAACGTGATATCAAGTATGTCAGACTGATGACGGCCATACTGCAAGTTGGTTGATTGAATTCAATCACTATTTAAAAGACTAGACAACTGGATTTAAACGCCAACTGTCTACTACTACCTGTCACCAGATAACATTTACGGAAAGTATGCTACCCAAAGAAAATGAACAGGTTTGTTCATGGAACAAGCTATCAATGTGTAGCTTCATTTAATCCATGTTGAAAAAGAATATTAGGCTCTGAGTGAACTGTGCACCATACTTGATTACTTTGAAAGTTAAATTTCCTACCGAAAACTATCTCATCATATATTTTTATTACTTAAAGCTGGGTTTTTTCGAACTAAATAGATTAAGTCAACTTCTTATTAGAACAACTTTTTTTGAATAGTCAACTATTAATCGAGACCATAAGTAATGTATTTTATTAATTAATTTCTTTAAGCGAACTCAATCGAAGTACATAAAGAGTACAATCAAACTGGTGATGGGATATATTCCACCTTTCGTGTATGTTTGTGATATGAAGGCAAAATAGTGACACATTTCTTGCATTGTATCGAGGCTCAAACAGTTCGATTGTTGGATTGATCAAGTTTAAGTGGTGACTACTTCACTTAGATTGTATGTAGGACCAATGATTTTTACATTAATCAAGTGACACGATGCTGTTGAAATGACAACCAAGATGAACGCTTAACGATGACTAGTAATCCTGAATTCAGTTCACCTATGCTCATTCACTCGATAACCGAAATGGGATACAACACACAGTCGTTAAATAACTTCGATTTGTATAGGTCCAATTCTATGACCCAAATGACAACATTATAGAGTAAATTCTTGACGATACATCAACAGGAATACCTACACCATAAGTGGAAGACGACCAAGTGATAAGTTCGTAATTATCAAACAACGTTTAGAGAAAAGTAAAACACAACAATAGTTTAGGCGTCCAACGAAAACATGCAAACAGGGCAAATAAAATGATACAATAATCCAAGTAATTAGAATTATGTAATAAAAATAAACTGACAATTTGATAGAATAGTTCTAGAAGTTAATTTTTGCTCAATATTTACCCCGTTATAGTAAATAGCTGTTTATCGTTTATTGTAATTAATCTAATGTTAAGTGGTTGATGGCATTTGACAGTGATCCCTAAATATTATATTTTCGAGCTATTTCTCTGTAGTAAGCACTAAATTTCTACGACTTTGGAGAATATAATGCTTTCTATGTGGCTCTGATCTGCGTAATAAGATGTTAAATTCAAAGGCGTTAGTATTAAGCTACTGTTGCCGAAATTATCATCCCCTAAGACTGAGATTTTCATAGTGGTTGATCAGTGAGTAAAAATAGTCAGAAAGAATATTCTAAGATTGACTGAAAGAAAACGCGTTAGCGTATACTGTTAAGCCATTAGTTATTTGAATGTTTTAAGGTAACTGTTTAATTTAATCTTTGCTTAAAATGTTGGTAAATAAACTATATGGAAAATGATATTGTTAAATAAACTAACATTGGTTGGTTCATGATCTCAATGAAATTAAACGATCTCCACAACCCGATACTGGTAATCATGTCCTCACTAATGACCAGCTTCAGGAGGAAATTCTTAAGGTTATAGTGAGAAGACGTTACTAGAGGAGTTCAGCCGTATCTAGTAAGAGACAGTTACCCACTGAAGACAAGGAAGATGGTTACGCATTATCATGGATTGATTTAAGTTGGATACTAACACCGTTGGATGCCAGCTCAGTGAACTAGAGGTTAATCTTTGATATACGAGACCGAAAGTCCTGGGTTTAGTTCCCTCTTGTCAACGTATCTTCGATGCTGGTCACTGAGAAATCTCATACGAATCGGTTGTTCAGTGCTTTCAGGTTTTCTATGTTTATCTGAAATTGATTAGTTCATGATCTCAATTAAACTGTGGTGTATGGTGCTTATGTCTGTCGACATAATTGGCATGTAACACCATTCGGAAGAGGAAAACCTGGCAGCAGAAGGCTAAGAGGATCGAGTTGAATAGAAGAAAAAATAGAAAGAAATTATGAATTGGAATAGTCATACGGAATGTCAAGGACAAATGATAGAAATTTGCAAATGAAGTATGCAGTTTATGGTTGTCATATATTATCAAGATATATATACAGTGGCTGTCCCAACTTGTGTTTTCGCTCATTAGAAAACTACAATTTATCTGTCCAAAAAAAAGTTGTTAAACTTGACAAATCTCAGGAAATTCTAGGGAGCTGTTGTTTACTTACGTTGGTTAGATTTTCTTTATTACTATTTCTATAATATACATCGTTTCTATTCGTTAACTAACAACTAACTACAATCATTTACAATGATTAGCAAATTGAACATGTTTACAAATCGTTTTGTTTACTTAAAACATTTAAGATATTTTAATTTTTGATGAAATTTATGGCAAGGTCTTTTTTCTAGCATTACAAATCATTATAATGGTAGATTGATCATTAACAATGAATAATCTTTTCGTTACAATAATATAACCATAGACAAAGTGGAGATTATTATTATTATTTTCATATTTAAATATTGAACACGACTATTATTCCATATGTATGTACACATATAATGTGAAAATCAATAAATTAGTTACTATGTACATGGATTCATGCTTACACTGAATATTTTTTCAATACAATTATTAATAGAATATTCATTGAATCTACAAATTTCACTAAGTTTCAATTAGTTCTTTTTTTCTTATTCCATAATCTGTTATTCATTGTCTATATTCAATGATTGATAAGAATCCAATGTTGATCTTTTCACATCATTTATTTTATATTTTGTTTGATTTTTTTTTCAGTTTGGTAATTTGTGCATTTTTTTATTTGTAGTATTTTTGTGAAGATTTTTTAAATTTTAATCGTCCTCCCCCCTCATCATCGGTCAAATGGTGTTTTACTCTCGTGTGTCAACCCATGGACTTACTCTATATTTCAGTTTTATTAACAAATTCATCCGATAGTAAATGGCAGACCATGTTAGAGTATGTGTTTATGAGTAGATTTAGATATATAAATATTTGGATGATTTTCTAAGATGAATGAATAAAGACAATTCTACTGAAGATACATATGTGAGAGTGAGACAGAAATAAGGATACTGAAGATGATATTGTTAAATTGGTCAGTATAAGTAGAGAAGTATGTTAGACAGTAGGCAATATGGCTAAAAGCAAAAGAGTTAGAGGGTGAGGCATATGTTCACATATCTATGATAAATACACCGGGGGTGTGTGTGAGAAATAATGTCTTAAAAATGTTATAGAAAAAAGATACAACATTACTACTTATATATATATATATGACTAGACGGGGACAATCTGCCGATTTCTATAATAATCGTTTATTTTCAAAGTACTTTAACGTTGGTCTTTGGTATTGTGTACTAGTTTGCATGATTACTGTATTTATCCATTAAACTGAAATGCGTGCGTATACATAAACACAAGTGCACAATCAAATGAATACAGACAGACTAGAGATCAATATATACATATATATAGCCATGGCGAATAAAAATGGTCTAAATCTAGGTCAGTTCTGGTTTCCGGACATGTATGTTCAGCTATCTTACCCCATCTGAAACACTAACCCATGTATATGTTACAAAGATAGAAAAATATACAGAATCCGTCTATCATCCCTTCAGGTTTTATTGTATGATTATTTCTCCCTTTTTTTAATTCTTTATTAGCTGTAAAAAGGACTTCATAGGTCCAGGGAAGTATAAAAATTAAACATTTTCTTTAAATTTATAAAAATATAAATTACAAACGCTTTGTTTAATTTGACGTTTCTTTTGTGTTTAGTCAAATACTAGAGCAAAAAAATATAAGGGAGGAGACATAGAAGAATTCTGTTGTCTTAATACATTCCAGTCCCTGGGTTAATCAGAATCATTACTCTTCAAGATAGGCAAGAGTTTAATAGAATTCACAATTTATTTCGACTAAATAGTTAATAGCTAAATGATTTCCTTGTATGTTGTTGTTACTCCATATCAGCCTATTTTTTTAAAATATCCTTTGTTGACCGATAACAGTTATGTTAAATCATTTCAATGTATATGACTGGTTGAAATATATAATAACTAAATAAATAGAGAATTACACAAGAAAGCAATCAAGTTGACAGAATTAAGATATCAGTATAGGATTGTGAAGATTGTTGAGCTTTATTTGAGATTATGGACTGACCAATGTTAGACCACAATTGAAAAACTTGGCACTGGATAGTCGTCTCATTCTAATATTGAATTCATCAGTTGGGCTCATCGACGATCCAGGTTTTCAATCGTGATCTAACATTGATCAGTTCATGATCTCAATTTGAATTCAGATAATTCAACATGTACATGTTAAAAATTTAAATAGTTTAGTCATTCAACTGTTCAGTAATTAGATTGATACAGGTTCAAACTTCAAAATTACTTATCCTCATTTTAAAAAGTGGAGTAGTAGTAGTAGTATATTTTAAATAAGATCAGTTGAAAACTGGCTAAACGAATTCCCGGTTGGTTGGTAAGTTGTGTTAGTTAATTAAATTATTTAGATAGGTGTATTAAAAAAAAGAACTAGAATAAACTTTTCTCTTAGAAAAATATATATAATATCTACCATTGTTGAATAGTCTTTATTGATTTTACAAATCAGGCAATGAATAAATTCAATTTGACAAATTAACTGAATGAAAGTAGTATATTTTATCAACATCAGACGATCATCATTGAGTTAAGAGAATTGGAATGTAAACAAATAACAGGTATCATTACCAAGGTTTGATTTGATGATTTCGAATAAATTGAGCATTGGGTAGATTGTTGTAGGTAAATAATATATTTGTAATATTCCAAATTTGGATTAATCTTAATTTGGTTCTTTAATCTGTGAAGAAGTGACTTACACTAAGTCACGAAACGTCAGAAAATCTAATTTTCTACTCATTGGGATATTACAAATATATTATTTATTTATAAACAAATAACAGTTAAAATTCAGTTTAACCTAAATGTTTCCACTTTTTTATGTTAAAATGAATTTGATAAAAAAATATGATGAATATAGTTAGTTTACTACTACTACTAATAATAATAATAAGTTGGCCATCGTAATGAATCGAATGTAAGAGAATAATTCAGGTAATTTAAAATAAATGTAGCTAGTGATACTAGATAATTGCCAATTACATTTATTTTTAATCTTAAACCTAAGAGAGTGATACTCACGGTTATGACTCAGTGATACTTTTACAGATATGAAAATTTAAACATAAGAAAGATGGTTATCTCTTTACAAAAACTCAATATAAATATAATTTTCATTATATGCTGATATTTGGGAAATAGGTAGGATTTCGGTTTTCAATTGTATGAGTCACACTAGGTCGTTTTTTATCATGGATTTTAACATAATTAACTTGTGTTTTATAAGTTGAAGTCAATATTAAGATCTGTGATCACTTGATGCTAAACATCTTGTCATTTATGATTCAGTAGTAGGTTAATCAAATCCATTTTTGTACAGAAGTGAAGTAGTTAAGTTTAGATCATTTAGGCATCTTATGTATCACGTTTAGTATTCAAATTATTATTAAATATATTTTTGTTGTTTCTCTATAGTTCAAGATTACTTTAACAGTGATCATGTTCACCAATTCATTATGATTTAAAGCTTGAACCATAAACATGACTCTTTAAATGATCTTAACCAATTCAACCAATGAGAATACAGAAAATAAGATGTTGAATAGTTCACGATGATGACAATGATCATAAGATTTGGGATTTAGGGTTAGAGTTAGGATTTAATTTACATACAGACTAATTATGAAAGCATAATCATAATAAATAATAATGGTGAATGGTAAACGTTATTTGAAGGTAATCGTGTTTCCTAAGCTCTACATTCCTTATATACTTCAGTTTTACTCATAATATTTTTAAAGCATTGTCAATTTTCATAAATCTTTAAGAGTATAGAACCAAACAAACATTTGAAATTGAATAAATAGGATATAAAACGATCTTTCATGTTCGTTTTTTTACTAAAAGTTAAAGTGAAACCCACTAATCAGTGCTACCTAATATTTTCCTTAACTGAATTTTTCAATTAATAACATTCTTCTATCTCAATAATCATCAAATATAACTTGATAATTTGTCAACATTAAAACAGGATATTCCTAGAGAGAAATTTGAAGGATAGTTCACATCCATAGGTTTGGTTTAGTTAGACAACTGAACAGACAGTTTGAAGTAATGTGAACTATTTTCAAATTGAACAGTTTCTACAAATCTTTCTATCGTAATTATGATCGTGTAAAAAATTGGAAGAGATGAACTGAGTAGAGTTAGTTCAACCATGTCCAAAGAAATAGATATTATCCATATCATTAGTCACATAGTATCTCACAAATTAATCAATATCAGAAATGTTGTAGACTATTTGAATGTCAACTGTGGTGTGTTCTACTAATGTCGACAGATATATGTAGTATGTGTCACCAAATAAAAGTGGAATGCCTAGCATCAGAAGGTTGTGAAGATCGAAGAGAAGAAAATGAGAACAGATAGTGATTTTTATGGAAATGAAGGAACAAAAACGTCTGAGACAATTGATGAATATTTTGCAAATTAAGTATTTACTGTATTGTTCTCAGATTTTAATAAGAAATTCTGTAATTTTGTATTCCGATACATTTGGTTATCTCCGTCTATGATCTCGTTCGCTACAGTAATAGTCTGAAAATAATCCCCTCTTACAAAAATAGTTAAACCTGGAAGTCCCAAGTTTCAATAATTGATAGATAGTTTTACAGTTCAGTCTGTTGAATGCTAATTGTTCATGAACTCGTAGAACAAAAATAGATTTTCAGGATTCAATAAGTGAAATCAGTCAATATGATAAAGTACATCATGTTTATGTTTTATTTTTTACACATCCCAACAAGTACATTTATTACATTTGTCATTATATACTATTACACTATTGTTAAATAATTTCAATGTGAGAGAAAGAAATACGAAGAATATCATCAAAGAATTTCATCAAAAAAACTTGAATTTGCTACTACAGGGAATCATGATAAGCACAATTCAAAGAAGACATATTAGGACGGTAGGTGAAGATTCATTTAACACAGCAAATTCATGGAAATGATATTTTAGATACACTTATTTTCAATACAATTGTATTTACAGTCAGACTATCAGTCAGATTTGTCTGAATTGAATCTCATAGTACTTGATATGAAATGAATTAATGACTTAGTTTACTTCATCCTATCATTAAACAAGGTATAATCAACAGATATAACTAATTTACTTCGATTTATAATTACACCTTCTTAAAATGTGATCACATGTCAAGGTCGACTAAGGAAAAGAAGAAGTATTTCTTAAATGATTTACACCAATAACGTCCTTATGATCAAGTTTGTCACATTGTTATACACAGTCAAAATATAATGGTTTGCTTTCATGTGTTTTATATTTTACTTTTATGATTTACGTGATTACATCATTCTTCTCTATATATTTATGTATATCTTTTCTTCTTTTCAATGTATATGTATAGTTGTACAACATGTATGAAAAGTTTTACACAAATGTCTAATTTACAATCACATCAACGTCAACATATGAAAGGTAAACCATATCGATGCGAACAGTGTTTCATGTCATTCGATACAAAAGAAGAATTAGATGTACACGTTCAAGCAAAGCATTCGGGTAACCGATATGCGAAGGTGAGTAAAAAAGTGCGTAAAAAAACAAACACTTAAAATTTATTAACACAAAATAGTCAAACAATTATTGTCACATTTTTATTTGAATATTAATATTGTTTCCTTGTGTCGTTGTAATTTGTCTCTCGGTTCAATTTTGTTGGTTTGATTGTTCATCGTTTTTGTTTTGTTTTTTGAAAAAAAGGAGAATAAATCAAGATGTCAGGTAACAATCATTGAAAACCCATAAGTGATGATTCAAATCACATGAAGAAAAACTCCATACTATAAACGAATTATCGCGCAAATAATAATCATGTTCTTTGACTAGCATCTTAGTTGAACAATTAGCGAAGACTAGGAAACAGTGAACAATTGCTTAGCTGTTTCATCCTAGTGTTGAAATCACAAGCGGTATACGTTCACGATTCCACTGGGACTCGAACCCAGGGCTTTCAAGTCTCATAATCGGTATCCAGTAGTTTACATGGTCAGTCCCTATTGGTTTTTGGATAGATATTGCAATGTCAGTGTTATCTGATTTTTAGTGATTACTTAACCAAGAAGGTCACTTTATGGTTCATATAATGAAACCCGAAAATCTTCATGAACTCCCTATATCGTAGTGAATGTCATATTTTTGTTAGACTAACGAATTTTTTGTACTGATAGAAAGTACTTAAATATTCTTGTCCTGGTTTACACTTATTTTATAAAAGATTCATATATATATATATATATGAGTCAAATCCTCCATTCAAGGATGCTGAAATCAAAGTGAGTGACGCTAGATTCGAATCTGCTACCTACTGATTGAATATCGAGTGTTACTATGTCATGTTTTATCACACAGAGAGATCAGGAGTAAGTTGAGTGCAAAGTGTATAACTTATGTTTCACAAGAATAATAATACTTGTCAATTGTTTGAAAGATATCACAACCATATTCTCAATACAACCAAAAGATTCCTCACTAATCGGACTTGTTACTTCCGATGATCAGCGTTCAAAGTAGAGAGTTATCTTTTCCTAAATGTTCGATAAAAAGGAATTAGTGGGTAGTGATTTAGCAAGTAGAAAATGTACAGAACATATATGAAGATACGCAATAAGTTGCAAAAATTAGTTCAAGGTTGTTTTAAAAGGCATGTAACTTTGTGAAGACGAAAAGGAAAATATAAATCCCGTATTGACACAATACACTAGAAACTGAAACAAGAAATCTTTACAAATATTCGCATCATTGTAGATAACATCTAACATTGTTTTAAAAACAGAATCATCAGAAGAAAATATATTTCACGCGATTACGTCAAAATATATTAGTGGTGATGGTGGGATTATTAAGTGATTGGGGATTTGTGAGTGAGTGGTCAGTAAAAAACATAAATCAAATGTATTAATTGGTTTTCTATGGATATTAAGACTTTCTTCCTTTATCCTACTCTTGTTTTAATTCTCCTTTATTTCTTTTTATCATGTTTGAACAACTGCAAGTCTTTAGGATAAAATACCTAGTCTAGGGACATAGGTAAGTCATTTACAATCTAGGAAAACAAATATTAAGTCTTTTGCATAAAATTTGAGAATTCAAATGATTTTTTTTGTTTAGATCATGCAAAATAAACAACCGGAATATCTATGTTCATAACATTTAGACTGACAAATAGAAATTATTTTATGCTACCATGGAGATAAACGATGATGTTAAGCGTGTTAAACAATCAGCTGTTTTATTCAAATTGTGCATAACAGGCTGATGTGTTGGTGAGAATAAACATATTTTCTTGTTTGGTTATATGAGGCCCATGAGACAGGACCGTAGGACAGGAAAACAGTTGTATTAATCAAGTCCAAGTATTGATTAGCTAGCTTAGATTACTTATATACTTTTAGTGACCTTCAACTAACCAATGACATTTTAAACGTGGGATATCTGAGAGCAACACCAAGTTGACTATTGGTCCGGAATATAGTTTTCTACGCTTGCTTGCCCGATATCCAGAGTGGAGAACAACTTAGCAACCAAACAACTTCTAATTATACAATTAGAATTTCTGAATCATTCATACAGTAGTATGGAGCAAAATCCTGATCACATATCAACAGAATTAAGAAATTATAATATTGGCATAAATACACCATAAGTGAAAGAGTATTAAGTGGTAGGTCCGTAATAGATTAACAATAAATTGGGAAGGGTAAAACACACAACAATAATTTATGCGTCAAACAAAAGCTTACATGTAGAGAAATACATGAGCACAATAGTTTAAGTATTTAATAGTTATTCAAAAAAATGTGAACAATAACTTCAAATAAGGACCGTTAAGAAAGTTTACCTTTGCTTAATATCTCTCTCGACGTAATACGGACGAGTCAGCTCTATCCCTTAATCTTTATTTTGAACTCTTAGTCCTAAACTAAACTAATTTGGTAGCACTAGAATTCATGAACAAACTAATTAGGTTAATAATAGGATTAAATGGATTTTTTATATGAAATTCATGCATCTATAAAGCTGCAAACGATTTTTGTGTTAGCAGATGATGTTGGTTTGTGATGAAAATGTTAACTTTGAACTTTTTTATCCCTAACCCTAAATACCTAATTCTAACCAAAGAAGTTAGAGACTTAAAAATCAATTTGCATTCTGTTAAGGTTTCAAGATAACGGATAATCTGTGTTCTGTTACATGAGTTTATATTCTATAGTTTTTTCACTCACGAACAAAGTGACCTGTTGAGAACTTTAGTCGATGAGAATTCTTCGTATTTACTTTAAGATCGTCTATACACTATACTTTTGACGTCTTGAGTGTTGTAGCGCAGTAGTGGTTGAAAAGTTCGGTTTTTATGCACCAAGAGAGCTGGTTTGAAGTTGATTTTGTTACTTACTGTGAGATCTATAAAAAACGAGTTGCAATATATTAGTCTCTAAGATTAGTAAACAAATACAAATTACTATTTGTAGCATTCATGCTTCAGTTGATAATTTGATCGCCAATTTATGCATAAATCTTATCTAAAATTACGTTGTAATTATAGAAAACAAATTAAATACTCACAGTTTATGAACATGAAATTACCGTGTTTCTGTGTTTCATTCAGACCGAAATGAAAAATAAATTCTTTAATTATATGAATGTAAAAAAGATACAAGACTGTTATATTTGTAGATTATAATGTTCGACGAAAGTAAACTTTTTTAATTTTAGCTGAGTTTTAAATATACACACCAGAAAGCAAAAGAAAAAAAGAGAGATAAGAGCTAACCGGAACTAACAGTACATGGAATAGCACTCCCTAAACGAAATGAAGTCACAAAAATAATAAGATGAAACTTAAGTTACTTAATTATAGAAAAGTAGTTTGTAATGTAACACTAAACAAATGATAAGTATTTATACGACTATTCGTCAAGATTAGAACGAATAGTTTGACAGAAATCGGGTGTCGAGTAAAGAGAAGTCATTATATGTGAAAAATATATTTGAAATGATCTCAGCGTTTGAAATTTAAGTAATTCCAACGTTTTGTCTGGTTAACCCTGAAGAAGTCCGGACAAGTTAGCTGGGCGAAACGTTGGAGTTATTTAAATCTCATTCTCGGAGATTATTTCAAATATAATTTTAACATATACTGAAAACGATAAGTAGATTGTGTTTAATTTTTTTAGACTTATTTAACACATGGTAACACTTTAAATCAAATTTTTTAAGTAGAGCAGCTATGGAATTTTAAACTCAGATTTGAATGAATGACATGTGATGTATGGTTGTAGATAACCTTAAACAAGAGGTAGGCCATAATTGTAGTTTTATCACTCATTAACAAGGGACATAGCTGGAATCTAAGTAGAACAAAGGTTTTGCCTCAGATTTAAATTCATTGTGTAACGTCACTTTGTTTCGTATTTCATCACAGATAGAATTTGATCAATACTAACACTTAGGAATTATGATACAGGTAATCGATTAATTACAACGGACAAGTCTTGAAAATACCATTAAATTTGATGTCTGGTATTTCTCTTAATGTAATCACTAATTATTAAGATATTATGTTCACTCAATAATGTGATACTGTAGTCAAAATAATAAGGTTAAATTTATAATGCTGAAATATGTGGAAGATACAACTCATAGTATGAATAATAAGGGAATAAATCACACCTTGTGATAAACAAAGGTAATTTTAATAAATATTGTGATTTTTTGACACTAAGTCGAAATTTTTGTGCGATTTTTGTGTTGGCGTTTCTAGTATACTTTTAAATAGCCTATTAAGTAATAGTAATTATAACCATCCTGTGAAGATCCTAGACTCAGGTTCAAGCCTCATAAGGAATATCAGTTCTTTTATGAATACAAGCTTGCTACGCTGATTGAAGAGTTCTAACTAGCATAAAACCTAGTCTAGGGTGTCTTACTGGCTATCTTCAATTATCGAACTCATTGATAGACATTTTATTTGCTCTCCTGCTTAAGGTCTTTCAAGTACTTTAAATCAATGTTTGGAGACGTTGGGTTAGATTGGTCAAACTATGTCATAGTCATTGTTAATCGTTCACTATCATTTTCGTACAAATCTTAAATGTATGGTTTCATTCTGAATTTCGCATTTTTTAAATTTTGTGTACCATTTAAAATTGTATTCATGTTTAAATTTCCATTTAATTACAAAGTAAAATTCTGTCTATTAATTTATATCTTGGTTAACACCACATTTTTGTTTTACTGATAAGAATTATAACAAATCCATGGTCCTTCTACGCATTGTTGATAATTGATTAAGTAGTAAATGAAATTGAGACATTATATCACTCAAAATAATAATTGACATAATACAACTAATGATAATATGAGAAAGATAAAATTATAATTTTTTAAACAAAGATAAATAGACACCATATACTACTTACTTGTCAATAATTCAGTTGTTGAAATCTAAAATACGTGTCTTTTAGCATGTATATTTTAGAGTTGATGGCAACCAACAGAGTTCGTTACACAACAAATACTTTGCAGTTAAATAGGCAATATATTGTTTCATGTATGCACACCTACATAATGATGGTAATCAGAATAATAAACGTTATAAAATACATAAGAACATAAGAAAATACTGTTCATTAGAACTAAGGTTGGTGTTGAGTCTATCGAGGCGTCCGAATCATCCAATTGAGATATACGCAAAAAACGAAGTTCACAAAGCAAGAATTTGTCTAAAATAGCGGTTTTTTATTAAATAATTTACAAAAATTAGTTACAAACCTCAACTTGTGAGGTGTCTATGGCGTTTACTGTGTCCTTTTGTTTGAAATGAAAAGGCTTCGACAGTGCAAAAATGAAAGCCTTTGTTTCTGTTTAAACTTGATAACTGTTTATCAGCAAGCAGAAATCGAACTAAGAGCAAGTAATATGGAAACTGTTGCGTTTAAACGAGAGTTAAGCGATTGCACAAAATTGAGAATAACTGCCACAGTGGTTGAGATAAAGTAATTATAGTGATAATTATAATAAATATTTTAAGTATATGTAAATATTTCAAAATATTACACGACAAACTTGCATTACAACATGTGCGTAGAAATAGCTAGGAATACAACTGTTTACTGAAAATTAATAAATAGTATAAAACAATACACAAAGTAGTCGAAGGGAAGTGAATAAGGACAGATAACGTAAAACAGACTTACCAGATGGTTTAGATGGTTATTAATAACTCGTTTTATTTGATATATATAAGGTCATTATCGATGTGAAACTTTGCACAAGTGTGCATTTGTTTAAGTCGCGACACTTTACATTGACGTAGCAAAACGAGTGGTTTGGGATGGGAAATGACTTAGAAATTAATGGAAATGTAAGTAGGAGAAATGGTTCAAAAGAATTAAATGTGGTGAAAGATTGAAGAGTTAAGCATAATACCAACTTGTATTTGTAGAACATAGAGAAACATATCATTGTTTCTGAATTTTCGCCAATATTGTTTATGTCATCTGAACTGATGACACGTTGTCTCCATCTGGCATTTTGAAGATTTACAGTCTGCTTTTATTTTGGACACTAATTTATAACAAGGCAATGCTTGTGATGGATTTCTATATTCTCCGAGTGTAATAGTTTGCTTCAAGACTAGTCTATGTTTATCCGTTGTCGGACATGGTGATCATTTCTCACTAATCTTAGAATTCTTGCCAGTCATTTTGGGCTGACGGACGACAATACCTGGACACAGAAACAAAAATCCCTCTTCATTTTTTACCGTCTTGTAACAAGTAGGGAAGGTTTATCCGACTATCAAGTGGTAAGTATTCTAAACAATGAAAATTGAAATCGAAAACAAAAGGTTTGCATGAACTTTAGCAATGTGATCATTAGTGTTTTTGAGGCAACCTATTATGTGAACAATACTGACACCAGTTGTAAATTACTATGCAAAAATGACAAACAGATCAATGATGTTGTAAATCTTCGTTAAAATAGGGGGTGGAGAAATGTAATACATTATTTAATTACCATGTACCTTGATTTTGTACTGACTAAATTTAGGTTGAATAAATTTTAAAGATGATCTGAAAAAGGAACATGGCTCCAAATAGATTATGAAATCATGAGCTTTTAGTCTATGCCCCATCAGGAGATACAGATCTTCTGGATGTGATTAATTAGATAATTATAATCCCGATTTTCAGACCTTAAGTGAGCTAACAGGAAATCAGTGATTGTAACACATGTGTTCACTCTGAGATTCTATGTAAGTCTGACAAGTATTTATTTATTAATTTATTTTCATGTCTCAATTTCACTCATCCCCCTTGAACTATTTTTCTGATTCACTTCTGAAGAGTCTCATACCAGGACGAAAGCGCTATTCAATTTTTACAGGTTTCCAATGATTGTCTAAACTAGATCGGTTTGTAATCTCAGTAAAACTCAAAAAGTTTCACAATACCCATACTGAAGAACATTCTGTACTATCATTTGGACATTTTATTTTATTTCCCTCTAATTGTCATTAGTTCTTCCTCATTACATTTAAATTTATGTTAAGATTGATCAGTTTACATGAACAAATCCCCGTTATCCTATAAATAAATTAACTTATTAAGAAATCTTGTATAATTACAAAGTTAAATAAAATTGACACGTTAAGTTTTATTGATTTTATCAATTGTTCTATTTTATTTACAGGTATTAGTCTGTCCAATATGCACGAAAAATTATAATTCTGAAACATATTTAGCAAAACATGTGGATCGTCATAAAGAGGCTGCTGCTACGGCTGGTATGGACGGAAATGGTTCAAACACTAATAATGGTAACAATAGCAATAACACTAATCGTAATAATAACAACAATAGTAATAATGTACGGAACCAAACATGTGTGGATAATCTATTTGCTGCTGGTTTCCATAATCATTCAGTTGCAATGGCTGCCGCTGCTGCGTCAGCACTTAGTCGAGGAAATATGATTGAGTCAGGTTCAGGTTCGCATATAACCGGTAGCCGTCATTCACATGGGAGTGGAGGAGCAGGCGGTGGCGGTAATATTCATTCACACAATCCACACCCTTCTGCTGCTGCTGCCGCCGCTTCGGCGGCTGCGGCGGCTGCTGTCGCTGCAGCTCATGCACATCAAGATTTACATCTACGTGCTGTAGCGGCCGCGGCTGTAGCGAGTGGTAATGGAGTAGTTGGAGTTGGTGTTGGCAATCGTAGTGGTGTTAATGGTGTTAGCCTTGGTAATGGTGATATTGAGAATCCATGCGCTTTTTTTAGTCCAAATGTAATATGTTCCAGTGAGACACGAGTGACTAGTTCTAATGAGTGTGATTTATTACATAATAAATTAAATTATAGCTCAATGTCCAGTGCTGGATTATTTCATCATTTACCGGTAGGAGGTGTCCATGATTCAAATGTTGAACATTTAACCGCTGCAGCTGTAATTGAACAACAACAGCAACAACAACAGTGTCTTGCATCACATCGTCATCAACAAGGGACACATTTTACTACAGATGATAATCAACATATAAATTCGTTTAATCATTCAAATATCATGAATAATATATCATCAAATCATCATTCACAATCTCAACAACAATATAATCATCATCATAATCATCCTCAACAACAGCCACAACACCAACAACATATTCACACGAATCAACGTAATCTTCATTCATCGTCGTCCTCCTCATCATCATCCTCGTCATCATCATCTAAACGACAGTCTAATATGAAATCATCTTTATCACCGCAATCAAATCATCGTTATACTGAGTCACCAGTAACAAATGATTCACAAACTCAACAACATTTACTTAATTTAACACAACATCATTTGACAACTACAAAACATCTTTGTTCTTTATCAATTGAGCCGTCGACGGTTGTGGCATCATCAATGGATTGTTATATTTCAACTCGGACTACTTCAACAACACCACCGAAAAAAATGACAGCAGTGACCAATGGTACTAATAATGCTGCTACTACTTCTACCACTAGTACTACTACTACTGCTAATACTACTCAACAACATTCACATATTCATGCAACAATAAATAATAATAATAATAATAGTATCAGTAACAATGGTAATAGTGGTGATGATACCATTCATATCAAACATTCACATAATGAATCAATGTCGTCACAGCTTCTACCGCCTCCGGCTCACCAACATTGTTTACAACCGACTCAAACTAATCATTTGACTGGATCTCATACATTTGTAGAAGGGGTTGATAATAATGGTAGTAACGATAGTAATAATAATGAAAAATTATCGGAAACCTCGAATTCTACGACCAATAGTCACTCACAACATTATCATCATCCTCAACAACTACGTATTGGATTATCACAAGCTCATTCCAATCAAACATTATTACATAATCATGTAAATAATAACTATTCATCAGCACCAACATCACCAGGTGTATTCAATTCAACAGGTGGTGGCTTGTCAACATCATCATCGGATAATATATCAACATTTGAAGAATTTAGTCAAAGTTTAGTGAAACTTGATCATAGAGATTCTATCAGTAAGTGGTTTAATAATGATAGAATTAAAGATATCAATAATAATGTAGTAACTAGTAGTAAGAATAACAATAGCAACGAAGTCAATTATTGTGATGACAATCATGATGATAATGATGATGAAATGGAGCACATGAATGAAGATAACCATGAATCACTCATTAATGTAATCAACAATGATAATGTTAACACTTCAACAAATAATAATAACAATAATAGTATTAAGAATGATATTAATACATCTAATCTTATGTATGACTTTTTATTTCATGGAAATTCAAATATTGATGATAATGAACAAAGTGAAACAATCAATAAATCAAATCACCATATAGAAATTATTGATACCCATGGGGTTGAACGCGAAGAACAGCCCGACACTGTGACCGATTGTGTTTTGAATTACGAAAATCATTTGAGTAAAGCTGAAGAAATCATATTTAATGTTGAAGAATCTCCACTTAATGAAAATCAGGTCTGTCAACCTATATCATCATCAGTGTCAGGAACAAAATCAATAACAACGGGATCACGATCATCACCAATTTCATCGCAAATTTTAACACAACGACTAATAACATCCGTGGAGACCAAATCATGTAATGGTAACCTTCATAATGGGATACCGCTATCAAGGTCATCATCGTCATCATCATCATCATTATCATCACCAGGAATCGAGCCTATTAGAACTGATGATGTGACTTCAAATACATTGAAACATGGACAGTATACTTGTCAGTTAACCAGTGACAATAGTGAACGTAATGCACTTGATAATGAGTCTATGTTAAATCTTCAACATGAATCATCTAACTTACATGACGTCAATGAAACCGATGATCAACATATTATGTCTAATAAATTAAAATCAATCGATATGGAACAATTATTCCCCAGTAATAATGATAATAATAACGAGGACATAACTAATTTAGATAACCTTAACATTAATGACAAAATTATCTGTGAGAATTTACAACTGAATAATAACACTGATACAACTCTAATGAATCATCGTTCATTGAAACGTAGTTTATCCTCAAACGACAATTACCAACATAATCGTTTGAAAAATCGTCATCATCAAACAGAAAGTCATGATATGGAGAATGGTGATGAATTCTTGACTATATCATCATCATCATCGTTACATCATAAGCATCATAATATTATCAATAGTAGTAATGAGAAGAATTCAATGAACATGTTATCATTAACATCACCAGCGAATATATGTGATGTAAATAATGTTGATCATGATGGTGATGACGATGATGATGGTGATGGCGAAGATGCAGATAATGACATTGATGATAAGAATACTGTTTTTGATGATAATGACAATGTTGATATTAATCAAAAAACTGTTGTAAATAAAACCAATGAAAATAATAACAATGATACTGTCGGTTGTAATGTTGATGATCATCTACAAGCAATGTATCATTTAAAATCAGAGTTCAATGATCAAACTCCATTTTATTTAGGTGAAAAAAGTCAACCAGAAGAAACTGTAGATCAGAACTCTTCTTTATCGTCAACAGTTATAGAAAAACAACATTTAGAAACAATCAATTCTAGTAAACGAAGACGTCGACATCAGTACACACCACAACATTTGCCTGTGTTTGAATTGAACACAAAAGATACAATAGAAAAATGTAAAAATAATAATACTAACAGTACTACTACTACTTCTACCAATACTATTAGTAATAATAACAATAGTAAAAATGCACATGCTACAGTAATTGCAGGCTGTTTTACAAATCGTCGTAATAAAAATGGTCATAGTATTTTAGAAAATGGTGATAGCAAATGTTTAAAGAAAGAAAAATTAAATGATAAACCCAATACAATAGATAACAATAATTTTAACAAAGATGATGGTAATCTTAGTAGTAATGATACTAATAATAAGTCAACGAATAGGGAATGTTATTTTCCAGCTTTTTAAATAACATTTGTTTATTTTTATTGACATGAATAGAAGAGACTGTACAGTTTGATTGATATATGAGAGTTTCAGTTCTTGAGAATATTTACTAATTGTTATCTCAATTCAAATTTTAAACATTCTAATATATATATATATATACGCTGGTTTTGCTTTAGATTACAAAACAGATGACCCCCTTTCCACAAACCCCATACTTTTTTAACGTGCTACTCTATTCATTTTTCTTTTATTCACTAAAATCATCGAATATCCCGGTCATAAATATGCTTTTTTGATTCGTCTTATAGATTATTATTGTTGTTATTATAAACGTTAATAAGACTTTATGTCATACAAAAAGATATTTAAATAGAACTTTCTTACATATTTCAAAGGTGGGGACAGTTTTTTTTAGTTAAAGTATACTACTCATCTATGTTTAAGTAGGTCAACGAACAATGTAAAAAATATCACTGCTTGTCAGTACATTTAATTGTGATTTGGTTTATCATCAGTTTTAATCCCTATTTTCACATATTCATGCGCATATTTCAGAATTATCAATAAAACAAATGAAAATTAATGGGAATTATTTTTTCATAACCTTGAATAAACAAACGAGTTATTACTGTTATTGTTCTTATTATTAATATCATCAGATTATTAAGTTTCATCATACCTCATTTCATAAATAATTATTTAACTAATAGTGTAACATATTTTTTGTTCATTTTCATGACATTACGCATACACATTATACCGGTATTTCATTGAACTAACAACGTATGGTACTTTTGTGCACTTCACCAAATTTGAAATATAAATTATTTTTAAAGCAAAATATAGTTTATCCTTTATACGTTCAACCGAAATTGGAATTGGCTGAAAAGTGAAGAAATGAAAGTCATAAAATTTTGGATAAGATTTGAGAAGATTAAATGGAAATAGAAAAAGAACTCCAGAACAAGGAATAATAAGGAAACTTGACCCTTTCTCTCTTTGCAAAATGACAAATAAAAAAGGTATTATTTAAGAGAAAAGATCTATCATATTTTTCTACGCTTCATTTCATATATATATATATATATATATATATATATATATATATATATATATATCTTAAGAACAACTCTCAGTTTGCCATTACCTTTGAAAATATGTACACGTATATATGTGTACTCATATACTAAGGAAATTTGTTTTTGTTTACGGATTACTTTACAATTTACTGAAGGAGTAGTAAAATGAAAAGAATTGGGATTAGGTTACTTTGTGTTTATTTGAGTTGCTCTTCACTCTGCGCACCACTAACCCACTACCAATATTTAGTAATAACTATATTGACTGTTTTTTGTCATTTACTATCTTATCATCAAGAGTAGCATTATCAATATTGTATTTGTCACGATATGTTTGGATTTACTGTTTCATCACATTCATATTGTCCTTACTATCCCGTCCCGTTGATAATATTTATCTTCAATTATCGCATAATACATTTACGTATACACATTAAAACATTGAAAGTAATCTAAAGTCATCTTGCCAGCAAAATGTTGAAAATCTTACTTTATACCATTTGGCAATATACAAATCATGTATGTGTTATTTTATATCACAAAACCATTGTCCCTCCTCTCTCCATCAATTGCTCATCTGTATGTAGATAAGCAAAAACCAGCCTTAAAATCAAACGATCAATGTAAAAATGTTTATTTCAACCGTCTTTTTTATTTACTTATAATGAATGTTGCGCTTGAGTAAAACAAGTAGAACAATTATCATTATAAATTAAAATTGAAAATACATAAAGAATATTTATTAGAATGGTATGATGATATTTTGGCTATAATTATTGTCATTTGTATGATATTGTATTTTGTTAAATTTCAGTCTAAATAATATTAATGCAAAGTGATTGACTGTTTTATTGAATCCAATATTATCACACCTAATCAAAAATATATTTGTATCAGAAGAGGTTTTGGGGATATTATAGTAATTTTAATAGTTGAGATCATTAATCAATTAAAGCTACACCACCATGGAAAACCTGGAAGCACTGAACAATCGTTTCGTCTTATTGTTGACTCCTCAGCAGTGCGCATCCACGATCCCACCTCGCGAGATTCGAACTCAGGACTTACATTTGTTTAAAGTTTTCTTTTTTGCCTCTTAATAGGATACGTTACATGTGTGTTTCAAGAAAAAAACAAGACCGGGAAATAGAATGATTATCCATAAAGATGTTAGCGCGTGTATTTATGTTAAATCATTTAGCGTTGTCTATCATTTAAATCAATACTTACTGATCAGTTAGTTTGTGCGTATCTTCAATAGAAAGAATTCAATTAGCTGTGTTAGAAATCTAAAATTATATATTTGTAGATGACTACATATACTGTGCATGAAATGTAATTTTCACATTTATCCTTCAGATCATTCATTCACTTATCTGTTTGTTTGGCTTTATCGATTGGTACAATTTCTATCTATTGAACTTCGTTCTATTTATTCGCCTGTCTCTGATATTCTTTTCCCCATATCCTCACACAAAAATAGTAATCACATATACGGCTCTTGGAAAATGATACATTTGCATTAACTATATCTCTGGTGAAGTCAAGTTAAAGTTTAACTTGTTTCATCACTCACCAGTTCTTTTTGTTCTCCCTCCCTCTTTCTCTCTCTCATGTTCATTTTACATTAAGGAACCCAGTAACTGAACAAAATTTATCTATTTTTTAAAAAAAATATACGTGAACTTTTAACCAGAACAGAAACTTTTAGCCAATCATTACAGACATTAGATGTTTTCAGACGAGAAAATTCTAACACTAGAAGATGAGTAAATATCTTTAGTGCAAATTATGTGTTAAAGGATGTTTTTCTAAATATAATTCAAACGAGCTCATAAAAGAAACACGTGATGAAAATTACTTTATTATTATTACTACTATTGTTATTGTCAATTACTTTTTGTACAGACCATTATCTCTACCATCAAATTTGGTGCCTCACTCTCGTTTACTGTCGAACAAGAAAAAATCATCAATGAAGAAATGTCATTGAACTTTTTTTTTAAATGTCACCATTTTTTATTTTGTTCTATTTTCTTCTTCAGGAAAAACTTGTTCCAGTGGATATAATATCATATTCTTTTCGTCTATTTTGTCAAATTGTTCGCAGATATTTTATTCGAGTTCTATTTTTTACACGATCATATAAGTTTTAGTGTTACATTTTGACTACTTACAAGTAGTAATGGTTCATAATCCATAAAAGTGAGAATGAATTGATGATGAAGACTTAACCATTAAATGTAAAGTTATACACAGAATTTTAGCAATGTTAGAATATTTTGACAAGACTAAGTGGTTTGGAATTTGAGACAAATCGATTTTTCTTTGATAGAACACTGAGGCAGTTATAAGACTAAAAACCCACGGACACACCAACCAACGACAAAGTTGTGCGCACAAATTGCATGTAAGTTCATAAGATTGCTTAGCGGAAGTTGTAATTCTAGAACTTATGTCTACCAAAAACCAGTTTATTAATACAGGATTAAGTAAAAGAATGACACTGAACACTTCATTGTTCTGGATACTTCATTAGTAAATCGAGACACTGATATCGAAAACCAGATTCCAGGGATAACATATTTATATGCACGTTCTGAGTACATTGTCCTACTGCAATGTATAATGTTGTAGATTGCCAACGTAGATTATCTGCGTCGAATAATTGTATGCCTATTCAAGTTAGACGGGAATGGTTTGAACAACCAGCTAACGTCAAAGTCATACCTCGCGGTTAGTACCTAACATGGATTACCCTTTTATTATATCCAAGTTCTATGACTGCTTTGATGACCCTACGACACAAACGACGTTATTATAGAAATATGTTAATAAGAGAAGGTACATGGAACAGAGTGTGACCAGTGTTGCATGAGCCATTTCATGGCGTACAATTAACTAAGGCGCCCTGGCTGTTCTTGACCTTGACGAGGATCAGTGAACTGTTCGAAATTCTGTGATATTTCAGTGGCCTTACAGTACTAATTAAAAAAGAAAACAAGAAAATGTAAAGGCTTTCGAATCAAATATATGAGTCACATAATCAATTTACTTTGTATTACATCATAAGATATAAGCATTGTAATAGTCAACAGATTACATCTTGGACTTCAAAGCATTTATCAGTCTAAATCGAAAGTAATCACAATTATTCAGACTTATCCCACTAAATAATAAGCCTATTATTGTTGTTAACCTGTTTATTCCTTCAGAACTGATGTCTTGTGTCTTTTTTAATCCGTATTGATATTAAGCGCTGAATAGCTAGGTTATTGCAAAATAAACAGATGTTATGATTATGATTTTACAGAGTTCTACGTTGTAGTTTTTGTCAGACCACTATGGTGGTCTTTTTGTCATAGTTGTACAACTTTCAGTTACACCGTTAATCAAGATAATTAATAAACTTTATATTTAAATAAATCTTATACATAATAACTAATAACACTGTTAAAAAGCAATCTTTTGAACGTACATCTGGCTAACAGCAGATTTTCCCGAAATATTTGAGGTTATTGAATCAATGCTCACAACACAGGCTATATGTGTGTTTGTGGAGAGGGGGGGGTAAAGTACACAATGATCCATTATCTCAAGCTAAAATGCGATAAGTTCAACTACTTTCAAATGGTTGAATATCATCCTTTTTTATTTTCTCTCAATAACAAGAAATAGTAAACTGCAAGATACTTTGATTATTATAAATTCATTTACTGTTATGCCTCGATAAGAATAATGAATGGTAACTTTGGGATCCATTTGTGGACCAATACTGTACTTATATTTTTACCGCATAATTGTTGATCAACTAAACTATTCATACTCATGTCTCTCTTATCATAAGCTTTATTTTAACCTATAAACTGTTATTATACGATTTTCCATTCTTGAATTACTCCTTGTCTATTAGTCACTGCCTCCCTCATTCACAGCCACATCTGGCTAATTCTTGTACAAATGTTGTTTCATATTTTATTGGTACGTTGTGGTCTTTTTGATTGATATATAAACTCAGTATATTTGAAATATAATGATTCTTACGCAGAGGCTGAGATTGGTGTTCTGGACTTAGCTGGCTGGGCTAGGCGGAAAGCAGGACCAATCAGAACTCTAGGCTGCTCACACGTGTTTTACGAGCCCTTGGTCCGATCGATAAGTCACTGCCCTCTAATCGGCGGTCACAAGTTATAACATTTACTAATTCAATAAAACAACTGTTAAGAGTTGAAGTTGTGGTGATTTCTGAACCTCATTAAAAGCATAGAACGATCTAATTTAGATCACCATTGGAGACTCAAAAGCGTTAAACAGTATGGAAGATCTTGGATATTCACTGCTAGAGAGTCCCATATCAGGGATGAAATGTCCATCCAGTGCTTTAAGTTTTGCAATGGTAGTTTACGATTTCAATGAAACAAATTGTTTAGTTTACAGATTTCAGTTCATATTGATCGGTGTTATAGTTAAATGTTTTACAAATTTAATCAGTGAAATAGATTATCACGTTGCTGTTTTTTAATGTTACATAGAGATCAATAAATCGGTCAACTTATGGATTTATTACCTACTATGTCAATAAAGTACAATAAATGTAAACATATATTTTATATTTATTATTCGAGGGTTGTAAAGCACCTAGTAAAATGTTCATCACATTGTTCGTTGAGATTTTGTTCAGAAAAACTATGTTATTAATAAATAAACATGCGGAGAATAGTCATATTTTGATTTTAAAAAAGTTAACTAGTCAGGTTGTCGATATTTTATTCAACTACACTATGATTGATTTTACTATTATGGTGTTAGTTAGTTAGTTTGTTTGTTTGTTCTAATTAATAAGTGATGTAACGGATGGTCGACTGGAATGATTTTTAACGTTCAGAAAAAAGAATCCTACAAACAATAGATTTTATAATGGAATTAATCAATTTAATAATTGAATTCACGAGTCTAGTAAAGCTAGACCACCATGAAAAATCTGGAAGCACTGTACGGCC